AGAGAGAGAGAGAGAGAGAGAGAGAGAGAGAGAGAGAGAGAGAGAGAGAGAGAGAGAGAGAGAGAGAGAGAGAGAGATCATGTCTTGTGTTGACATTACTGTCTTTGTCTGCTTTGGTTGTTTTCTGTTTCATTCTGCATTCTCTGGACAGTGGGATGCTGTGGAGGACAAAACATCAGTTGCCGTTTATGGTGGAGGTGCTATTTTCGCGTTGTGGTTTTCATCAACAATAATTGGTGCCATCAACTCCGTTCCTTTGGTAATCTTTTCTCACTTTACCTCTTTTCCCTCTCCCCGATACTCTTTTTTTTTTTTTTCTGATTAAAGCACAACAGAAGACCTCTTTTTTCTTATTAAACCACAGAAGAAAACGTTGTGTATCGTTCCAATTTTAACTCATGTCCTTCCCGACATCCATTAAAATTGGAACGATACACAGAAGATTAGCATGGAAAAAAAAAAAAAAAAAAGTTGTCCGATAGGGAAACGACTCTCCCTAAGTTTAGCTCAAGGAAGTCTTTTCTGTTTCTTTTTTTTTTTTTCTTTTTTTTTTTCTTCTTTTTAAGCAGGGCCCTTAGGGCTTCATTATAAAATTGTAAAAATGAGGCCGGGAATCCCTCATACAAAACAACCCGGCTTGCCTTCTTCCTTTCTTGCCTTCAGGCTTGCCTTCTTCTTTTCTCTTTTTTTTTTTAATAAGGGTATTTCATTTTTTTCCCTGTTGACTTGAATGAGGTTATACCGTTATACTTCCTGCTCTCTGACATTTGTGCCTTGTCTTTGGCGGACGTGATATGTTCACAAACGTTAGCATTGAAACAAGAGAACACATATGTGATAAGATAATGACCTCACCGCACCACTCACCAAATGTGCAAAATCGGAATGAATCTTCCAGTAGAACATGGAAAGATGCAGCGCCATAATTTTTGTCTTTTGTGCAGTTGGTGACTGGTTCGGTGAGGCCCAATATCACAATACGTAAACATATAAGTACATGCGTGACAATATGCAAGCATGCGAATACACACACGATTATGCCAGTGGCGTGTCTGGAGTGTATTTTTTGGCTGTGACAGACCTTTCTTTGTTTCGTGGATGTTTTGCTGGCTTGTGATGGGGTGTGAACCGACAGTCTGTAGAGTTTTCCATCTGGTGTGGGTGAGTGATAGTCTACTTTGATTTTGGT